TCAGAAAACAGCCACAATGTAGTACAACTAAACCCTGATGAAAATAAATATTATCTTCTCACTCCATATCCCACATTAATGCAATCACTCAAAAAATTTTCACCAGAAAGCATTCGCGCTATCGCTCGAAACCCAAATATAGACTTACAATCAATAGGAATCTATTCAAAATCAGATATTCAACATCACATTAGAACACAACAATTCCAAGAATTATTAACACAAATGGACACTATACAAAGACAATCAATTGACCAAAACCTACGCAAACTTGCAGAAACCGCAGGTTTTGCCGATATCTACACACAAGACTATAGCGGATATTTTAAAGACATTAAAGATTATATATATCTAAATGGCGAAAAATACCGTCCCCAAGATATATCACCAATCAACATTTTTAGCTTTGTTACACTCAAGAATGAAATCCTTGATTTTCTAGGATGGCCCTACTACATCTTAGAAAAATTGACTATTTTATACGCAATGTTTAACTTTATTGGATTTCTTTTCTCACTCTTAAAAGGAATCTACAACACATGTGCTATACACACACAAGTAAACAGACAAGCAAGCGTAGCACGCATACTCTTTGCAGGATTTTTTGGAATTTTTTCCACATCTATAAACAAAATTCTTTTAGACGCACAAATAAAAGAATATAACACAAAAATAACAACACGACAAAATACATACGACGAAGAACATAACAATGTCGACACACAGCCAACGGCACCACAATTACCACCCCTACCAAATAACCATCCACTATCCCTAGTCCCACGAAATTTTCGAAATTTGGCAATCACACATAATCCAAATTTTCGACTCAATACATCGCAAAGTCCCATCCAACATATAATGACACATCAATCACAAGATGATAATACTTATGAACAAATTATTGAACAGCCCCATACCACCGCTTTTCAATCTCAAAATAATCATTTTTTTAGCCCACGATGAGCCGCCAACTTGGATCACTACACCGATCAAATTCCCACCCAACCAATCTTACCTCTCCAATCCCAATAATACCACTTTTTGCTTTTCCGCCACCCGATTTTCCATCTAGCAATGTAACATCAGGCATGAATTCCGACACTAACTCACATATTTCAGTTTTATACTCCATTTCACAGCTAAATAACCCGAATATTGAAACCCCCGATGAATTTGCCGACTCAGAACCATCTCCATCCAATAATTTTCATAACCCTTCTAATTTTTCTCAACCTCCTTTTCAACCCATATTGTCAAATAACCCTGACCCAATCACTCCGACACCCTCTTATGCTTCCCAAGTTACCCCAACCTACTCCTCATACCATTCTGACCAATCATCTCATTCTCCAGACACCCCCCGAATCTCCCCAGAGCTAGATAATTTTATTACCCTCCAACAACAACCCTACCACCTTAACACCCCAACCATAAACCAAATCTCCTCCACTACAAATTCATCCAATCCCCCTACACCCTCTTCAAATTATACTGAATCATTAACACCATCATCCACATCCACTATATCTTCACTAAACACTAATAGAGCTTACCGCACTTTTAAAAGAAAATTCCCCAACCATCCTTTCCCAGCAAAACCAGGAACAGCCCGTGAATACATCAACCACCCCCAGCATACTAACACTAAAGAATTTTTAGCTATCACTTTACCCTCATTTCCACAATACACCTTAAACACCCCCCACGACACTAACGAAACACGCAACTTTGTAGATGAATACGTTTTAATGCCCACTCTCTCTTGGACCTCATACTATCATTTCACTAACCCTCTTTGCTTACCTTTATCCAGCACTTCCATCGATATAGAACGAAACAAAGACATGCTATATCGACTAACTACACCACTAACCGCTAGACAGTTTACTTACGTTGGATATAAAAAATCACTAAAAATACACACTGCACCTAGAGCTAATGAATATACACTAGAATACTACGATCACAACATCATCAGAGCTAACCAAGATCAATTCTTAGACGACGATCGCTTCGCTAATCCACAAATCACCGAGAAATTTTTCATCAAGACACCATATGTATTTACACTAAACATCTTCGACCGAAAGTTTGATCACATTATTTCAGAAGCACTAACAAACACACAAGCATACGAAAGTTTTAAAGAACGCTTCCAAATCTTTTCACTAACCTTTCATTTCCTTGCACCACACGAAAGAGATTTACACTGCTCACACGATATTATGTTGCGCACTAAACAAACACATACATACAGTTACTATCGTTTCATCCAAAATCACTTTGACCTCCACACACCCTCTAGACAACCACACCATCGTTTCCAATTCATCAATTCAAAATACACTTCACCGTATTTCCTAAATTTCACATATTGTATTAAAGACACTAACCTCCATGGTATTCTTCGTAATTATGACCCCATAACCCAAATGTACATTTTCTGCCCCATCACCAAGACCTTCAACGCCGAAGAATCCCGACCCTTCCTTATCCCGCACGAGTTTGTACAACCTATAGAAATCCCAATTTTAGAATTCATCCACAACACTAAATTCAATCACAAATTATATAATCTAATCCAAAACACACCTTATGAGTTTGCAGTTGGCACTGAAGAACTAACCACTATCAAGGCACTTCAATTGCTTTGGCCACTGCTTCAGACTAAAAATATCATCCGCATCTTAGCTAAACTACTAACAACTTCAGAACTAATTCACGACATCTTCCCCCACGGTTTTTCCCCGACGACTAACAGGTAAGTATGAATTAAATGAATATAACTAACTAATTGAAATATTAAAAAACTCACCATTCTTTATTCATGTTTTCATTAGATTTTTAGCTTTCATCCGACAATCACCTACAAAAACCACAAAAGAAACAATAAAAATCACAATTTTCATCAAACAATTTTAAAATTCTATTAATCTCCTACACTTATAAATTTCTAAATTTAATATCAATGCAGTAAATTCATCTATAATATTTTCCCCCAAAGCAGTAAATCTAATTATGATGAAAATTTGTATCTTAATATTCCCCCATAACTAGCAGTAAATTTCAAAATTCTATGCAGTAAATTAATAAAATGCAATTGCAGTACTAACCTTTTGATATTTTCATTCATTCGCACAGAAATTCTATCCACACTCGCACAGCTCGCCCACGAAGAATTGTTTAAAATAATGAATTTCAGTTTCAAGTTTTCACACTCAACAACTCTAACATATAATAACATGTTTCAAACTTTCCTTTAACCCGGTTGGAAAGGAATCATATACTAAACAAAACTAACCAACGCAGCTTACTAAATACCACAAATCATAGAATAACAGCATGACTAAGAAAAGGAAACCAACGGTACCCAAACCGGATTAACCCAGTTTAAAACTGGATAATTTATTCTTTTGAAGACTATTACAAAGTCTTAGAAAGAAATAATAAAACACAAAAAAGTCGAAAGACAAACCCATACCACAGACAATTTGATTTTTGAAAAAAGGACACAACCAACAAAACATAAGAAAAACCACAACAAACCCAACATAAAACGTTGTCACATAACAGGACCCCTCACAAAAACCGCATGAAATCATACTCCCACTCCTGGCCTAACCCACCAGGAAGGACGTCCTGAGCATGCTCTATAGCCGGCCTAACCCACCGCGCTACATCCACGCTTTGTGACCACACCACTATTTTTAATAAGAGCTACTCAAGGGTGAGTAACTCTTCAAAATAACCGAACTAAAACAAAAAGCTTTTGTGAAAACAACTAACTAAAATCATTATTAAAAAATATTAAACTAATAAAAGTTTTATAAAATGTAAAATCACATGATGCAATATATAGATCAGAATACAACACCAAGGACGAACATCAAAAGACAAAACGACCCCACTACACTCGAGAGAGAATGACCAACTACAATCGATATGCCGCTCACAATCACAACTCAAAGGATTTAGAGTACGACTTGACCTCGCAGAAAAGGACTTCATTGAACTAGACCAATGACCACCTCGATGTTCAAGTATACGTACAGATCCGAGTAACCAGGCATCCCCTCCACGCACAATCTCCACGCCATTCCCAAGCTAGATCAGACACAAAAGAAGTTCTCTCCGAAGAACAGAAAAACCTGACATAGCCAACCATTCTGAAATCAGAATTGATTTTGTTGCAGAGACTCAGTCGTTGTCGCGAGAAGAACACAACGTCTTATGTCCCTAACTCCAGCTCCCTGGAACTTCCTTAACAGAAAGGAAACAAAAAAAAATATGATGTTCGCCAAATACCAACGTCCATCATCCACCCTTGAATTACAGAAGAACTGTTCTAAAAAACTCTGTAAAACCCGGATGGGTGGAACCTGATCTAAACTATATTTTATGATTGGATAAATTAAATGTTTTACCAATGTAAAGTATTTAATATTAACCAATCATGATCCATCTAACTAACAACCCACTTATTTGTAAGTGCTGAAGTTACTTGTAATTTCAGCACCAGAGAGATTTGAATTTAACTTAGAAATTAGTTGGACTCTCCCGAGCACTTCAGCAGCCGCAATAAACCAGTATACCCTAGATCTATTGAGCCTAGCAGAGACTAGTTAAACAACCTGAGACTAGATAGTATAAGAGTAAGATTAGGATCGGTATTAGACTAAGAAGTTGCACGAATCTATCCGGCCGAAAATAAGATAGCGTGACGAGCAGACGGTGTACCCTATCCGAAATTACTCTATGAGTTATACACCCCAGTCATAACTCATTTTGATTTTTTTCGTAAATTCAATATATGAAAGTTTATTAAAAATGACTTTTCATGTTAAAAACTGCATTAAAACATGTCAGCGTGAACAGGTGAACAAATTTTCACAACATTTCTTACGAGTTCAAGGCCGTGAGAACAATCTTTGAACAGCTTTATTTTGTAATTTGACGAGGGGGTGGGAAACTGGAAAGAGCCCCCTTTTTGCTCTCACCGTTCAGGTTGTCTGCCCACAATCTCAGCTGCTCCTTTCGCTGTCCTGATGAACTTGTTGTATGCCTTCTGCGCAGTGGCCACACTGTCTCGCATAGTGGCCGCTTCCTCTTTCAAAATGGCAGCCATCTCCAACACTAGCTGACGCCACGGGATACGACTGGCTTTAGCTGGCACTTCCTCACCTGTGCGCAAATCACACTAGACTTGCAAAAAATTAACTTAACCAGAATTTAAGGTGTTCTCAGTTTAACTTTTTTTAATTATATTTTTTCACAATTCTATTTTTCCCCTGATTAATTTTTTCCGGAAGTCTAATTTGACTTATCCGAACTTTCATGTTTTCGGAAGTTAATTTTTTCTTGTTTTTTTTGCGGTGCATTTTTTATGCCAGTATAACTTTTTCTGGAAGTTAAATCTGATTTATCCAAACATTAAAGTGCAAGGAATTTTAATTATTTCACTTTTCAGCTCTCTAAAACTCTCTTAAGAGCCTTATTGAAAATTTCTTTACTAGTTTAATTTTAGAAAACTTAGACCAAAAATGAAGGTTTTTTCGGACCGTTTGGCACTTTTTGGACCGTTTGGCACTTTTTGGACACACAAATATAGCTGATGACAGTCATTTTTGAGCTTCAAAAGATTTTCGAACCTGAAAAGTGAATCTGATGCACGTGGTCTTGTTCGGTCCTGAATGCCTCATCCGCGAACAGTTTGGTCAGTCTCTCATAATTATGTCTAGATAACACTGCTTCTTTTAAAGCACTCTTCACTAATCGAGGACCACCTGAAAAAAAAGAAGAAAAATTTTACAGAAGCGAAGTTGTATTTAGCAGACACGAGAAAGAAAAGGACAAAGAAGAGCTTAAAAAGACATTTTCAGTACTAAAATAAACTTCAAAAACCCAAAAACTGAGGGATTCAAAACTGATCATAAACTGATCGTATAACACTGCTGCGCTGGAAATTCGCGCGTGTAATCATGTCTTTTTGCTCTCATTAAGAGAATACAGACAGACAAACTTCGTACGTTTATTTTCTAATCTCGATTCTGATTGGCTTACGACATGTCTGCTTTATGACATGACTACTTTTTGACCGTACTTCTTGAAGTAGTATAATTGTACCTGGTCTTCGTGGAATGGGTTGCTGGAAATCCTGGAGTGAGAATTGTTCCGCCGAAGCTGATGCTAGTTGTGATTCCTCAAATTGCTCAGCTGAAAATTCCTGTTGTTGTTGTGCATCCTCAAAAGCTAAAACAATTATTCATGTTTGAGATTTTTATTCAAAAGACTGACTTGTTCAATCAAAACCGTTAAAATGTCTTTTATTCAAAACATTTTCACGACAGCTTTACTTAGTTTAGAGAAGCAAAATTTTATTCTTTGTAACTTCTAGGAGAGCTCGCAAAATCGAATTGATCGTTCTAAAAATAAATGAGCCAACAGACAGTTGGAAGTGTCGATGAACGCAAGAAATCGTTAAAAAATTGACATTTCTTAGAGTACATAATTTCGAATTTACGATTTTCAGAGAAAAAATTAAGGCCTTAAAATCTTCCAACTTCAAGAGAAGTTGATTATTGACACTTTATTGAACATAGTCAACAGACAGATAAAAAACACAATTCAATTTGATAAAATTAAGTTTTTGATAAATTTAGTTCAATCTGAAAAACAGGATTAGGAGATAAAATTTTGAAATCACTTTTGAAAATAGAAGTAGTTCACGTTTTTTCGCGCCATTTCAAAGTTCGTATTTAGAGAAAGATTTAGCAGATAAATTTGAATTTTGCTCGAAAAGTGCATATGAATCTAAGTGCATTCATAAATGAATTGATTTATATGAATGCACATCTGTAGTTATTAGAGCAACACGTTTCCTTTAAAAAAGCAAGAAATCAACAAGACCTATAATTAACTCTTAATAAAATCAACTCAATTTTAGGAAACTGGATCAAAAAAGTTTTCAATCCACTAGGAAATCTGAAAATTAAAATCCACCTTCTAAAAAAGAAACGAACTGATCTTAAGAAGCAATCAAAATTCAAACCGCGTTAAATCAAATTTGAGCGAGAACTAATTTTCAGACTTTCCTAAAAAAACGAAAAAAAAACGAAAAAAAAACAATCATTACGACCTATATAAGAGTCTTCACTATGTTCATTGACATTTAACATATTTGAATCATAGTTCTACCCTGTTGAAGAAATAACCATTTTTCTCAACAAAAAAGTGACAAATAAATAATTTATTCGAACAAAAACTTTTAAAACCAGTCGATGCTTCCCAACTAACAGACAGTGATTTTCTAAACCCGAAAAATGATTTCATTCGATGAGTCATATAGCCTAAAATGATTGTTAAGAAACACCGACGCAAAAACCTAAACATCACATAAGCACTCATCACGGGCGAATTCCTCAGGTGCGAAAATTATGGGAGCCAATCAGAATTCAGTACGTTTTGGACAATTTAAAGAGCGTTGATTGGGTGATAATTTGCGCGCATTCGCGCATAAGAAAGCGCCCACACACTATAGCCCATGATAGAATAATAATTTATGAAATATGTAAAACTCGAACTAAATATTTCACACAAAACCTCAATCTATGATATGTAAACAAACACTCAAGTTGATCTTTTCCGATATTGACTGCCCAATATTTGAAAATTTCCCAAAATCTTGGACGTGGAGATAGTTCCAGTGCTTTAAAAACAGTCAGAAAAGTTTTAAATCAAAATATCTTCAAATTTTATAATTCGAGGAATAACTTAACGAAAAACTATTCAGAAGTCGGATCTCTTCGACTATTTGCCTCCTTTTTCAATAATTTTCAATAAGGGAGGAAATAATTAGACATCCGAAACTTGCTTAATGATGGGTGTCATTGCCCACAAAACATCGTTGAAATAAAAGAAAATCAAAAATTATCGATTTCGCAAATTATTTCGACTGATTATTCATTTTCAATATCTGGTGGTTATAAATAACTAAAAAGATCAACTTATTTTCAAACTTAAACAACAAAAGATTCAAGTCTTTTTCGAGTCCTTTTTAGCTTTATTCCTCGAAACTTCCGATTTCCTCCCAGAAGTTATTTCAGTTCCTGTGAATTGCATTTTGCCACAATCTACACACATCTCGAAACACGCACATGCTGATTTAGCTCTCGGTTTCAGTTCGCTTTTCGACCGAGCTAGAGCTAGTTTCGATTTCCTCTCAGCTGAACTGATGAGCGAAACTGCTGAATTTACAGCTGTTTGCTTGTTGTACGCTTTGCTTGCTTCAAATCTTGCCTGTTGTCTATTTTTAGCTGCATTTGAAAAAGGAAAAATAAGAATATTATGATTTTTATAACGTTATGACGGTGCACAAAATGCTGAACGTGGTTTGAGATATCTCCCCTTTTTCTGACCTCCCAACCATTCCTCAATTGGAATTTTCCATTCTCATAACATTTGACATGCGTGAAATGCATGGTTAAATGCGTGATTTTGCACTATAAGGTATGCATATGAACAACAAAAGTCGGATACCAAGCAACGAATTGCCACCCCTATAAAGAAATAAATCAACGGTTATGCCATTTCGTACCTAGTAAAGAATCTCTCTCCCCCCACTTGCAAAAGGAGGGAAATAGTTGAAGAGATCCCAAAAGTCTTCACATTTAGTCATCCATTTATTCGGAGTGCAAACTGTCGACCAAGTGAACAATCTCTCCCTATATCGATTTAGGAGCTGATTGTTCAACTGGTTAAAAGTAGATGCAGGCCTTACGACTTGAATTTGTTATTTAATTTTAGGTGGGAGATTGTTCACATGGGCCCGAAATTTCACAATATTATGAAATCGTTACAGCTTTGTTTCTATATCCAAACTGAACCATAGTTTGTTTGTGGAAAATAAGCCTGCAAGTTTCTTGTTTTAACGAAAGCTGGATTCGTTACTAGGTACAAGGAGAGAATTATGTCATGTCAAAAAGCTTCCTGTACTGTATTTTGAAATAGATTGCAACGCCATCAGACACCAAACTCCTAATTTAGTTTGCGTTATTCCGGTAATAAAACTGCACCAACCCAAAAAATTCCCTGTGAAAATATAACCCTAGTACAAGCACCAGCTCCAGCTAACACAGTCTTTTCATGTCAATTCAGTTGTAGCACAAAGCCCATTAAGCTTGTTTAATATTCTAAAAAATATTTGATTTGATTGACTGATCACAATTACATTCCAAATACAGTTTTTAGAGACCTGCAATATTTTTGAAAATTAAATTCAAAAACTAAACTGTGGAACTCAAAAACTCAGAGCTTACCATCAAAAAGTGAAAATTACACCATGACCTGTTTTCATTACTTGACAGTCTAAAAATTTTGGAAGCATCCTCGGGGATCTATTCCGAGCTTGGTATTATTTGATTGGTTGCATTCTGATTGGTCAAAAAATTGACAGAATTTATCTGCTTCACAATTGTCCCCCCTTCTTGAAGGGGTAATTGTCAAGTAGAGGAAACTTTTTCTCAATGGGAAATCTTCAAATATTTTAGGAGAATTCTTTCAAATTTTCTTATGCGAAGTCAACCGCAATTTTCTTTTAGGAATTGCATGAAATTTTATCTACGGTAATTCAACCAATTTTTAAGCCTGGGACAAAAAGCAAATCAAACTTCGAGCTGAAGAGAGTTGGAACCAATTTTCAAACTAGTCAAGCACTTCAATACATCAATTTTAAAAACCAAAAAAAACTATGTAAGCGAATTCAGCTCATAAATATAGTTGTCCGTTTTATTGCATAGTTCGGAGTGAAATCAGCTTTTTACGAATATAAATTTCATTTAGAGGTAAAAAGAACATTGTAACCAATATTTTATCTGCTAAAATCTGCCCTCCAGAAAACTTACGCAACTAAAAGATTTGTATTCATTAAAATCAAATTGAATTTACGGGGTTCAGAAGTAACCTGAAAACGCAAAACTGTAACCATATAGACCAATAACTCGACAAAGAAGTCAAGATTGGTCTAAATTCGGAGGGTTTAAATGATCTGAACCTGAATCGCCCAATTTTAAGTAGGTTCCCGTCCAAATTTATATAAGTTATTCTTTTCAAACTGCTTATCATCAAACAAATTCAACTTATTGATCCAAAAAAATAATATGAACGTAATTAAATTCCAAAACTAACTCAGTATTCTAATCTATGTTTGTTGTTTGGATAAGAACTGATATTGTCTCCGAACATTGAAATTGAGAAAAGTAAATAGTTTCAGATTTAGTAGTAGGTAGTTTGTCGCATCCTAACTCTGGGGGGACAACATTTACCAATTTTTGCGGGCCACCCCGGGAGAAATTCCAGGGGCTTCACAAGTTCCGAGTACTATTGGTGCAAACAGACTGTTGGAAAAGAGTCAATGAACGCAAGGAAACAAACAATCTGACTTTTTTTTCGAAAAAATCTGAATTTTCGAATTCCAAAGATAAAAATAGATGGCCTGAGATATCTGAACAATAAACTCTACTTTTAAACCTAGAATTCAATCAAGTTTTTGTAACCTTTACACTTGTTGTTCCATAGTGGAGTTTGCCTGAATTTCAAAAGTCAAACCTCCAAGAAAATCTAAAAATTTATAAAAAGCATTTTGTGTTGCTACATATGTCTTTAACTAATCTAACTCGTATAAAATAATACATACATACTTCTTTTCATTTTTATTCAAGAGTCCTGAATAATAAAACAAAACTCGAAGCTAGAGTGAAATTGATGGACTTAGGTTTTTGTTTGCCTTCAAATTGTTCGGATGAAACCAAAAGGACACAGCTTGAAGCTCTTAATCCAAAAATATAAATTTATTGATTAATTGCTCTGCAAAGTTGAGTCGTCATTCAACATATGAACATAACTACGCTGATGTCAGGGTGCCCAACGAGATTTCGAATGAAAAAAGACCTGGTAGTTTTACTCACAAAAACAGTGGCGAAGCTTCGCTTCTCAAACACTAGCGAGAAGACGACAAAAAGCAGCTCTACAAAGTGCAATAATAAAATTTAGAAATAAGCCTCGAATTAGCAAAAATTCGGCTAGCTCTGAGATTCGAATCTGCGACCTTGAGACTAGGACCGCCGATATTTGGCACACTGTTAACTCAACTTATTTTTTCTTATGTTTCATACAAAAAAGACAGCAATGAAGTTGGCTGGTCAACAGTTAGTTCATCCAGTTGTCACTCCTGCATCGACTTAATGCACAAAACTTGGTAGAAACTGTTCTGCGAGATTTCTCATCATCTTGTTCTATCTCAGCTAAATTATTGCAAGCTAAAAAGTGTCTTTTTAACTTAATTAATACTAAACCTTTCATAGCCAAAAAAAAAATAGTTTTTTTGTACTTTCTCGAATGATAACAATTCGGCGGCCGATAAGAGTTATTTTCAAGTTAATTGCCAGCAGTAGCAAAAAACATATTAATACTCAAAATATTACTATCACGGTCAGGTGGTATTTTCACTAAGCAGCCCGCATTTTTCAACCCCCTATTTCTTAACCCCCTCTGATATAATCCCAGAATTAGATAACCCCAATACAATTTAACCTTTTTTAATAACTATTATTAGAGACATAGTGAAACTTAGTTGAAAGGAGTTCGGAACCATAGCGCCGGTAAAAACCCATGCTTTAATTGCGAAACTATTTTCGGAACCAAACGAAATAACATGCAAGCTGCTAAATGCTGTTTAGATGTGAATTAAATTTGAACTTGATCTTGAATAAAATCTTGCTAATATTAGATTAATAGACTGAATTTAAATGGAATGAGACTGGCTGTGACCAAAACTTTTCAAGCCCATGCGTTTTTTACATCTCCCAGAGGCTGCAAGGAAACGTCTTCCTTCAAAGAAAAAATTGACAAGCAACATTTTGATATAAAACTATATACGAAGAAGAAATTTAGCTTAAGTTCATCATAGCGCGAAAAAAATGCAATTCAGTTTTCTCTTCGTAAACCTTCATAATATTCTGCACGTTTTCTTTTTTGCAAATTGGTGCCCGATCCAGGCGTTAAGAAATTCAGTTTTGAAGGGAGGCGTCTTTTTGCAAGTTTGCGATTACTTTCCAAATACTGGGGTGTGAACCACTAAAAACTGATTATGTTATAATGCCAGCTTTCTACAGCATTTGTTGTTCTGGCCAAACCGGATGTTGTCGCATCTCTTTGGTTCCATAGTGAAGGGGGGAGTATGAATTCTCGATTCGGGACGAGACTTCTAGATCCAAAATTCAGGCAGCTCTCGTCAAGTTTTGCAATTTTTTCCGACTCTTTAATGGTGCGATTGCATACTGTTTGAATTTCATCGATTATTTTATAGTACGAGTTAGCTATTTGCTTTTTTTTCGATGCCAGTCAGGGTAACATTTTAATTGCTCTGCAAAATCGTGGTTTGTTTAGTATTCCTTTTTAAATCCGAGTTCCGCAAATTTTTCTCATATACTTTTGAAAGATGAAGAAAACATCTAGACAGCTTGGGCACTAGGAAGTTTTTCGAAAGGCTGGAAGAGCGGCCTGCTCGAAATCCAGCAAAATTTTTCAGGTCTACTGTCAGGGGTTAAGCTTTTAATGTTGTTTGCGTTTTATCTGGTAAGAAGGAATATATGCAAGCGGGGGCTATTCCTTAAAGACTAACATGTATAGAGTAAAGTTGATAAAACATTTCAGAAGTAACTTTGAAAAGTTCGTCAGCCAACGAAAAATTTGATTTTTTCGAGCACACGTAGCATTTCCCGGTCGACGAAAAAAAAATCATTCTTTCGTGATCATTTTGTCCAATGTCCAATCTTACGAAGTTCTTAGATTGCTCGCGTATTTCGAAATTTCCTTTTGCTGTGAAGGCTGGTAAAACCTGTTCTCGTTGCTTGCGCATGCGTTGTGCAAATCGAACTAAAAATTACTGGGTTGGTAAGGCTAATCGACTGTCAATATCGCCTGTTATGGGCTGAATTTCTGTGGCGACTGTGACGGTCGGGGTATTACTCTCGCTCAGGTCCTTGATATTTTTGAAAAGGATTCAATTTGAAACAAATTATCGGTTTCGAAAGGGCGCTAAATTTTTGTGTGGTTATGAAATAGGGTGTATCAAAATTGGGTGTTAAATAACGTGGGGTTAACGAGTGGAACACCATTTTCACTGCTTGCCGCATTGCATTTTAGAGATTACTTGATGATTTGTTTCGCTTCAGTTGTTATTAACATTGATCTCCAATTGGTTTTCATGTCTTTGTTTTGGTTTTGCGGCCTCAATTTTCCTCCCATTGCGTAGTTTCTGAAACTTTTGTTGAAGGGCACCTTACCACTTGATTAAAAAGTTGTTTCTGTCGGGCATCTAGCTTGCACATTCGTTTGATATCAAAATTTAGACGTTCTTTTTTGTGTTTAAGCTTGTGTTTGAGTATTGTTTCATCGAATAAGATCAGTATAATTTGTCAAAGTTTCTCAAAAAATAACGGGCCAATTAAACGTGACTACTAAATCAATGCTAGACTTAGAGCTTGAATGATTTTAAAAATGTAAAAAAAACACGAAAAAAAAACAAAAAAAAATCAAAACAATTGACTTTTCAAAGATCACAGAAAAACGTTCTAAAACAAATATATGACATTGAACCTTTGAACCACATAGTGAAGGGGGGAGTATGAATTCTCGATTCGGGACGAGACTTCTAGATCCAAAATTCAGGCAGCTCTCGTCAAGTTTTGCAATTTTTTCCGACTCTTTAATGGTGCGATTGCATACTGTTTGAATTTCATCGATTATTTTATAGTACGAGTTAGCTATTTGCTTTTTTTTCGATGCCAGTCAGGGTAACATTTTAATTGCTCTGCAAAATCGTGGTTTGTTTAGTATTCCTTTTTAAATCCGAGTTCCGCAAATTTTTCTCATATACTTTTGAAAGATGAAGAAAACATCTAGACAGCTTGGGCACTAGGAAGTTTTTCGAAAGGCTGGAAGAGCGGCCTGCTCGAAATCCAGCAAAATTTTTCAGGTCTACTGTCAGGGGTTAAGCTTTTAATGTTGTTTGCGTTTTATCTGGTAAGAAGGAATATATGCAAGCGGGGGCTATTCCTTAAAGACTAACATGTATAGAGTAAAGTTGATAAAACATTTCAGAAGTAACTTTGAAAAGTTCGTCAGCCAACGAAAAATTTGATTTTTTCGAGCACACGTAGCATTTCCCGGTCGACGAAAAAAAAATCATTCTTTCGTGATCATTTTGTCCAATGTCCAATCTTACGAAGTTCTTAGATTGCTCGCGTATTTCGAAATTTCCTTTTGCTGTGAAGGCTGGTAAAACCTGTTCTCGTTGCTTGCGCATGCGTTGTGCAAATCGAACTAAAAATTACTGGGTTGGTAAGGCTAATCGACTGTCAATATCGCCTGTTATGGGCTGAATTTCTGTGGCGACTGTGACGGTCGGGGTATTACTCTCGCTCAGGTCCTTGATATTTTTGAAAAGGATTCAATTTGAAACAAATTATCGGTTTCGAAAGGGCGCTAAATTTTTGTGTGGTTATGAAATAGGGTGTATCAAAATTGGGTGTTAAATAACGTGGGGTTAACGAGTGGAACACCATTTTCACTGCTTGCCGCATTGCATTTTAGAGATTACTTGATGATTTGTTTCGCTTCAGTTGTTATTAACATTGATCTCCAATTGGTTTTCATGTCTTTGTTTTGGTTTTGCGGCCTCAATTTTCCTCCCATTGCGTAGTTTCTGAAACTTTTGTTGAAGGGCACCTTACCACTTGATTAAAAAGTTGTTTCTGTCGGGCATCTAGCTTGCACATTCGTTTGATATCAAAATTTAGACGTTCTTTTTTGTGTTTAAGCTTGTGTTTGAGTATTGTTTCATCGAATAAGATCAGTATAATTTGTCAAAGTTTCTCAAAAAATAACGGGCCAATTAAACGTGACTACTAAATCAATGCTAGACTTAGAGCTTGAATGATTTTAAAAATGTAAAAAAAACACGAAAAAAAAACAAAAAAAAATCAAAACAATTGACTTTTCAAAGATCACAGAAAAACGTTCTAAAACAAATATATGACATTGAACCTTTTTGAATTTCATGACTCTTTCTATGTCTGGCACTTTCTTATTTAATTAATCCCATTGGGAGAAAATTGATCAAGTTTTATTTCATTCCGCTGGAAATTCAAAAACTGAAACCCTTTTTTGAAACTAGAAGCCATTCTTATTGTACATAAATTTACACCGATGATGTTCGATAATGCAGTTGAATGTAACCAAAAATGAGATAAACTTACGAAAGAAATCAAAAAACAAACCGCGAAAAACCAAACTTCAGCTTGAACAAACTTCATTGTGAAAAAATCAATGTTTGTTTGACTGTTTCGGGTTGTTTGATTCGTAGTTGGTTGATTCATATGTTTGTGATATGATCAAATTTGTGGCTACTTTTGTGTATGACATCCAATAAGAGTCATGTTTCCGAGATTTCAGTTTTATTATCGAGCATATTATATACAAAAAAAAGCTTTTAAAATAGACTTTAAGGACTATAAATCTTACACAGAGGCGAAGCTGCACTTCAAAAACGGCACAGAAAACGGTAAAAACGGTTAAAATGCGGGTTTAAGATTTCTTATACCTTGAATCGTACTCTTTAAGCGAGTAGTTCATTTTAACTGTGCGCCTACACATGCAACTTGAAATCTGGAAATATAAAGTATTGTAATCGAATAAAGTGCTTCGCTTCGACCTATAAAAATAAGTTCTGCAGGTGTGATTAAGTATACTCGCTCAAGCATTACCTCTCCAAAAAACCCTAACTAATTATATCCCATTAAAAACAAAAACCACGTTTGGATGAAAGTACATTTTTTGTTACAAGGCTGAGGGAGTCGTGTAAATAAGTACAATCACAAAAACTTGTTGACCAGAATTTTTTTGTCAATTTCTGCTCACCGTTCAAGTATGCGAGTGAGACTACAGAGGGTTGTTTGATATTGTGGGAAGTGTGGAATGGCATCGGACCCCTCACTCTGAACGGCTGAGCCAGACCCGCCTTCGAGTTGTACGAGCCGAACTGGTACATGTCTCTAAACAGAATCCGAATAAGTCAAATATGCTGTGGAAAATCACAGTCGGCAACGACCTGTTCGTTAAGTGCAAACTAACGACGGAAAATGATGCAGAAGCCATTAAGTCAAACTACGGGCTTCGCACCAATTGCAATACACGTTTTAAGAAAAAAATTCGAAAATTGCAAAAAAAAAATGAAAACGACTCAAAAAACGACAAAATTGACAAAACGCCGAAAAAAAAACACCCAAAATTTTCAAATGCTTGTTTGAAACTGAAACTCATTTTGATGACAATCTGTGGCAGAACACAACAGCCAGTATTATACTAGCTTGAACAACTTTGCAATACGATACATATTGCGCTACAATAAAGTCAGTGGAAAAAAAGCCAAAAAAATCTGAAAATTCGAATTAAAAAAAATACTTGAAATTATAACTTCGAAAAGTTGGAAAAACCACATCTTCATGGTTGTATCGGATGATGTTCATAAACAGCCTTCATTAGCCGCTGTGTACAAAATATGTTAAATTCAAGGACAGAATCAATGAGTCAACTTACTCCTCGGTGAATTCTCTCGCCCGGCTTCCCTTCTTGCGCATCATACTCTTCAAGTAGGCTGTTCTGGGACTGACTTGTCTGTTGTCCACTCGAGGGTATGAGTCATGTGACTCCCCACTGAACGAGTCATCCGGCGCGTACGAGGAATTCTCTTCCGCTGTTTGATACTGCAACGAGAACACAACCTGTCACTGCGGAATCTCAGAATTTTATAGTTCGCAGCAGTTTGGTAGCCAGAAACATGTTCCAAACTATTTAAAAATTCTATTGCAGTCCTATCTGTTTGCGACTTTATTTCGGTTCTTAAAGTTGTACTGTATTTTTAATTTGTACAATTTTTTTTCAGTGTACTGATGACATAATGTCGAAACGTTTCATTGACCATTGATATTTATTTCCTAAGATCATAATTAAATATAAAACTTAAATATTGCCAGTTGATGAAAATTTTAGATATTAATTACTGCATGCAACTGTGGAAAGCACATGCAATAATTTGACAACATTTCAATCGTTTTTTATGCAGTCTCACTTTTTAAAAAATCATAAAGCATGGGCTAGCATAATTCTGACTGAACTTCTCATTGACAATTTCTAGATTAAATCTAGCAGTCTATCTAGAATACTAATAAGATAAGATTTATCTAGAATTTTTAAATGAGAAAATAAAGAAAAACTTTTGATTCAATTGACAATTAATAGCCCAAGAACATATATTTTTATTGAGACTGTTTATTAGTACTTTAAATTACAGTCCTTGCGTGTTGAAAATATATTCGATATTATTGACACAACTGAGTGACATTTTGTGGCATTCTGCTAACATTAAGGCTGAGGAAGCTTCAATTCGGAATTGGGTATACAAATTGAAAAAATCAGTATACACTTTAAGACATTGAGATACTAACAATATCGCTGAGATTGCGGTCGAAAATCTCATTCAGATCCTCCACAAGTCCATCAACTGCAGTAGCAGCTTCACCACTGTCTACATTTTTACTGCCTTTTATAGGTAAAGGTCTCCTTAATAGCGGCTAAAACATGATGTATTAAATAAAAAACAATTCATCTAAGACTGATAGAATGGAAATAAAAATTACCTTTCCGTTGCTTGTCATAGTGATAATGATAATATAAGCAATTCGATCATCTCATCTTGAATGAAGTAAATGTAACACAAAACAAAAAAATTATAACCGAGAATGGCAGGCCAGGGAATTTGGAGAACTGTTTTACTTTTTTTTGGAAAAGCCTACTAAAAGGGCCCTATTTCATCATACGACGTTCCATGGACAGGTTAAATGGGACTAAACTAAATTGAAAAGATCATAATTTGAACTAGTTTGGCAAATTTCATCGTTAATTTACGATGTCTGCGAACTTTCAACGCATTAAATAACTTTAACAATCATGCAAACGCCTTGACAGGCAGGGAAAACTTGATTTTAAGTAGAGTCATATAAAGCTGACGAAAATTCCAAAAATCCGAAATCTGGGTAAATCCATATTTACCCATGTTAAGGATAGAAACGGTGCAACCCGGGAACATCAAAATAATTGAATATTCAGAGCAATTAAATGGTTAGTAAATGTAACATTCGCCCGGAAGATACATATCGACGGATAACAAAACTAAATCTTAAGACGACTGGCTAGCGTCTAAACAGAGCTTTGCATGTTTTTCACCGTCTCTACCAAGCCAGTACTTTTCGGTGGTCTTTCTTACATCAGGCTGACAAAAACGTTACTGTTCTCCGGCTTCGACCAGAACGCTCAAATTAACTGAATTACATGCGAAATTAGTGAGCTCATGGCTGGGTCTCTGTATCCCCAGACCACGAGGTCACTCCTAAAAACAGGGCTACTACTTATCATATTACTATTGTTTTTGTTCAGTAGATAAAAATCATCATCTCCATCGAAGATGGATCAACCCTTTCCCCCAACTCCTAGCACCTCATCCTTGTCAAAACTAATCAAAATATCAGTTAAATTCAAGTCAGGACATGACAGGATGCTAAAAGTTTATGTGAGTTAATAAAAGTTTCCGTCCCGAGACCCTTCCGGATTCTTGAATCCGCTGAATCAAGCTCCTTACTCTTGATTTCTTGCTAATCCGGAAGGCTGGTTCTCACCCTTCACCGTTGTTGGCAACGGCCTTGCAACTATTGTAGCAGCACAATAGTTGCAACTCGGAACGTTCTCTGCTATTCTGTAGTTCGTTGTCGTTTTCCAATCTCGATTTTCGTACTGTTCGCAATCGCAGATAAAAGTTGTTCTGTTTTTTACTCGCTTTTTTGTTAAAATGGCCGTTTCAGCATTTCTCAGAAACGTGACGTCATCATTCGAATTTTTGAAAATTTAAAATACTAGAATATTCTAGCCCTCACCGTTTGGCTAAACGTTCCAATAACGTCGCTAATCCTTCGAAATCATCAACTCGGAAGGCTTACTGCTCAAAATTCGAATCCTGCATAAATTGCATTTTGGCCATTCTGGTCGAATGTCACATACTCCCCGGACAGTCCGGTCAATGTCCTCATTGAATCGCGCAATGTTCTAAATGATTACAGTGTCATCGAACAGAATTTACAAAATGCACGAAATTACTTTTATCTACGTCACATCGACTCACTGCAGAATATAAATGGCATCATACTACATCACTATAGCCTTCAAATTCTTTCATTAATCTGCACATTGAGGATATGACTTAAGATAAAACATATTTTCTGACTTCCAGTGTCAATGTCCCGATTGAAACTTTTTCTCCTAGATTTAAAAGGTGTTGGCTTGCAGGACAGTCCTGCCAACCAACAAGCTAAAATTATCCTACTATGCTCCTTCCCTTCGGAAATCTTGCTTGTTTATTGTCCTGAATATTAAAACCAAGAGACCTTGTGGTTAGAAAGAACAATGCAACAACCTCCCTCCTCAAGAAGTTACTCAAGCTCTTCATGTCACCACAAAGTGATCAGTCTTCCTAAGTGATTAAAAACAATCATGCAGGCTGTAATATTTAAATATACTCTTCCCTCAAGCCTTTCTAAATAAATAATAAGTGAGTGTCTCTAAAGCCACTTCAACTAAAACCAAAATGCAAATTTATAAATGCAACAATTTCCAAACTCAACTAAATGTTTCAGTTTTCAATTACAACTTGGTTGCTTGGTTTCTCACTTGAGTTTTTCACACACATAAAACAATTCTGAGTTTTAATGTTTCTTCATCATCCCTTTGTTCTCTTCTTTTTTCGTCGTTTAGAAGTTCTAAAACTTCTAAATTCTTCTAATTTTCTTTCTTGCTGCCTCTTGTTTTCTCGACCATTCGTCAATGCTCCATTTCCTCCTCCTGTGACACTGACTCCGCACTTTCGGTTTCCGTGTCTTGTAGCACGTCATTGACTATCCTGACGCTGTTGGAAGCCGTCCTCCAACACTTCTGCTCTTCCACCCTCTGTTTACAGCAAGGTAGGGGATCCACGTTTGATTCTCTGTTTCTACAGAAGCTGTTGTGGAGACACAACGTCACGTTCCTCTCCAAATCTTCTTTCAGCATCTCTGCCTTCTCATTTCCACTACGCTCGCTCGTCCTGGAAATTCTTTTCACAGCGGTGGTCACTGCATTCCGATGGGTCACGAAAGCTCGCTTGAAAGCTCCTGCCCCAATGTCCAGCTGATATTCACTGTACACTCTGCCATGTTTCGACATATGCTTTTTCGCATACTCGTACAACCATGCAGTCATGTTAGCTCTGAACCATGGCATCAATCGTTTTCTTGCCCATATCTTCTTCACTTCCATCGGAATGTTTAGAACTTTGCACATTGTCTCAAAAAGATCTAAATCTTTTAGACAATCTAATTTCTGCAATTGTCCTCTCGTCGGTGCCTCCTGTCTATTATTTTCTCTCACATGAGCTTCCAGCCATCGTATCGCCATCATAACTCCCACTATCACTATTGTTATGGGCTGTGATGAATCTGGTAAACCCATGGAGAGCAGCTCTCCAGAGTCCCAGATCAACACCAAATTACTACGTTTGGGATACCACCAGGTCTGCAGCAAGCAGTGGCAAGGAAACTCGTCATGTGTCAACATGATGCTCCTCCAATTGCGTTTTCCTGAAGCTTCCAGCAATGGTTCCACTTCCATCATCACTCGGTGGATTTCATCATTCTCATCTACTGCATTGTAATCTGTGACAGTTGATCCTCTCTGTTTCTGTTTTTCAAAGTCACTGAAGTTCCCGCTCACATATCCCATGAACTTCTTTCCTAGTATTGACTCCAACTCCTCTTTGGTTCTCTCTGGAACTGCTGAGAACATCTTACATAGTAACTCGTAAGACTTTTCAGACATTCTCGCCAATCTCACGCACTTTGGCACTGAGAAAGCTTGATCCACGATCGTTCTTGTACTCTTCACGTCCACAGCCACGAAATGTACAGGGTATCTGCTCTTGCACATTGGAGCCAACGTTGAACCCACCAAATATCGTGCTCCTGATGGTCTACAATAAGTTTCGCTGTGTCGGATGTTCATCTCTGTTTCGATTGCTTCCCTCCATTTTCCTATATACTTCTGCTCAGTCTGCAGAACTCCTGGGAATACTTCTACGCTGATGGCTGTGACCATCTCATGTTTCTGTTCTAGATTCAATAGTGACTCTAAAGAACCAAACATGCTGTAGAATCCTAGTGCTGTCACTAGATTCACATCGGTTCATCCATGGCAATCTGCTATCAGTTCCGTTTCCGTTCTTGCTTTCATCACTACATTTCCAAACAATACTGTCAACTGCTTGTGTTGTTTCTCCAGGGTTTTCACACAGTCTAGACTTCCACAAACGTGACCCTCTAGTCCACAGACTTCCGCCAGACAGCTACCAGGTTTGACCCAGTCTTCTGGTCCCCAGCCAGGCAACTCCACTCTATCTTCTCCGTTGCTCTTAGAGGCTGTCATCATCACATTATATATGATGTTGAGGTCACGCAGGTTACAGTCCGCATTCAGTTCCCTCTGTATGTCTTGTGTCGCCCGTAATATTGAGTCAGCGTTGGGACTAGGACACCATGATGGCTTCATCAATTCCCACACTGCCATCAAGCTCGTTCTCAGTAATTCATCTGAGAATCCCAACCCAAATTCCACTCTCTTGTCGGATTTTGGTACTGAAGGTGCAGTCACCTCTTCTTCCAAGACCAATCCCAATTTGGCCTGTGGATTGTTAACGCTCTTAGTCGTTACAATTCTGGACGTCCAGAATCTTAGTAACACCGCCTGCTCATAATCAAAGAAGCAATCACGTATGTCTTCACTCAGGAAAGGATTGTACGCTATCCCTATGATCCCGGATACATAGCTATATGACTTCTTCTTGATCGGTCCACAGTATTCACTGGATTTCGGCAATGCTCCCATAGATTCTTTAGTGAGCCTCAACTCCTTGTTTGAGAATCTCCTGATCTCGTCTATCTTTTTCATGGGTTCCAATTCTTCAGGTTCTTTCATGTTCACCCTCATCGGTTTACTTTGCTGCATATCCAGCATTGCTAGTAAGAACATGGCTTTCGTTCGCTCATCGCCTTCCTTCAACATTTTAACACAAGTGCTTAATGCAGGTACTGAGATCTGCTCTATCAGGAATCGAATGAAACAGAGAGCGTCTCTCCGCTTTGCACACGCTACTGCTGCTCCCTCCTGGACTATCAGATCCCTCAGATTCGTCATAAGGAAAACTTTTCCTCCTTTGATCTCTTCCTTTCTTCCGAATCATATTCTTCGCGAGTCAGTCCCATCATGCACCAGGCGAGCCTGAGTTGTAATTCTGTCCTTACGTAAGGTACTGCCACGAGAGCATGTATTCTTGGCGTAGTCCTCATTTCTTCTTCGAAATACCTCAATACTACTGCTTTCCATGGAAGGCTCACTAACTGCTCGATCGTCTCCGCCTCTACGTCAGACGACGCCAAAGTTCCATACGCCTTCTGCTTGAGGGTGGTGCCTTGCAACATCATTTCCAGATAACCCTCCATGGCTTTTTCGTCTTCCAGGGCCACTACATACCCTCTACCCGAGTTCCGGTATTCCAACATCTCCATGTATCCACCGGTGGGTTCATCTATCGACACTGTCTCCGACACTGTTAGTCGGTTGTATTCCACTGGTGTCAGTTGTCCTGCAACACTTCCTTTTCCATGATTCATGGGAGATGGTTTGAAGTCCCTCATTCTACTCTCTCCACATTGACTGAGTATTTCCATTTCTAAAGTTGCTCCAGTCAGAGTGCGGTCACTCCTTTTGGATTTATAACCGGTTGACTTTATCCCTGCCATGAGAATGGGTGGCACCATCGCTATATCAGTTAATATTCTATCTGTGCCGGACAATTGATAATCACTTTGCCCGAAATCCATAACTTCCTCGACTCGTTTTCTTTTCGCTGAGTTACCAGCTTTCATCGATATTTCCGAATCCACTTTCGTCTTTCCAATCCTCCTCGGCATCACTCTGCTGCCTAACTTCATTTTCATCGCATTGATTTTATCAATCACCATTTTCGATCGCATCGTTCATCTCCTGGTCCTTGACAGGTACACTACCTCTCCTTCATTATCCTGCGGTGTCATCTTGATGGGAGAATTCGCTTCACTCTCATCAGTGGCTGAGTCGATCAATAACTCACTCAGTCTCCCTTCACACTCATCAAGCTTGTCAAGTACTTCTCTCATCAAGGGTTGATTGAGACCTGTTTTGAGAATGGACTGGGTCCCATAGCTCTGAATCACAGTCCAGACTTCTTCCATGAACGCCACTCTGTCCAGCTTACATCC